TGGAACCTCTCTGGTTACAGGGCTGACTGGCAGCCATATCCATTTGCTCTGCCCTGGTGATTCCCTAAGACTCCATCCCATCCAATCTGCAGCCCCACCCAACATGTTTGCAGCAGCTTTTGCATATGAATGCCCTGTCCTTGCTCAGGCTTCAGACTTTACTAAACTCTCTCAAAAAAGCTACAGCTGGGGCAATGTGCTCCAAACTTATGAAAAAAAAAGGCTCAAGACCCTGAACTAGCATGAGCCTGCCTTGCTTCACAGCTGGGCCTCACCTGGGCACCTACAAGCCCAATACAAATAGCACCTGTTGGCTGGTCCCAGGCAATGGCTGACTTTGCACCTCTCTAGAGGTCCTAGAGCCAGTGCACCTGTTGGACAGCTTAAGATCATACCAGAGTACAACTCTACACATCGACAAGTGACACACTCAAGGGGCAGGCTCAATGAGCACCAAAGCCCCATTGAAGCAAGTCCTACTCCATAGGGGTGTTTCCTGCACAGCAGCTTTCCCACTGGAGCCATAGCTGGTCCTCACAGCCATTTGGCCTGGATGTCAATTCCTCCCAATGACTGCCAACAGCAATCAAGGCTCAACTACAAGACTGTGTACACAGCCCACACAGGGACATACCTGGAGTGCCCAGCTCACATGACTTGGGAGGCTGAGCCACTGGCCCCTACAGGACACCTACTTCACAAGGACACTCTATCAATTCCAGGAGACACAGCAGCTCTACCTAACACAGGGAAGCAGCCAAAATGGGGAGACAAAAAACATGTCACAAATGAAAGAAATGGAAGCTAGAAAACGTTAGGATACACAGTTCAAAACCATACTTATAAGGTTACTCAAGGATCTTAGTGAGAAATTCAAAATCATGCAAAAGGATCAGTCAGAAAATAACCATACACTAAGTGAAATAAAGAATAGTTTACAGGGATTTAGCAGTAGAGTACAGGAGTCTGAAATTCAAATTAACGATGTGGAATGTGAGGGACCAAAAAATACCCAATCAGAAGGGGGGAAAAAAAGAATCCAAAAATATAAAGATAGTATAAGGAAAGTCTGGGACAACGTCAAGCATAGCAATATTTGCATTATGTGTGTGTGGGGGGGGGGGGGCGGGGGAGGCAGAAGGAGATGAGAGAGAGCAAGATACTGAAAACCTATTTGAAGTAATAATGACAGAAAACTTCCCCTACCTGGTGAAATAGACTTACATGTTCAGGAAGCACAGAGAGTCCGAAACAAGAGGACCCCAAAGAGGCCCACACCAAGACACATCATAATTAAAATACCAAAGGCTAGAGGAGAAACCAAGATGGCGGCATAGGTAAAAACCTGAAATTGCTGCCTCGCACTTCAAAAATATAACTAAAAGACATAATTTGAGAGTAAACTTATAAGTATGGTTTTGAACTCTGTATACTAAAGTTTGCTTGCTTCCATTTCTTTCATTTGTGACATCATCCAGAACCACAGAAGGCTGGCTGAGTGGAAATTCTACACCGAGAAGGAAAGAGAAAAGCACACTGAGACTCAGAGGAGGTGCAGAAGTAAAGTGCAGAGGTACGGAGGCACACATGGAAAGGGCTGGCAACTGAGGACGCGGTTGTCTTTTTCAATCGGGAGGAGTCAGAAACTCTGATCTGAACTCCAGTTCCGGGTGAGTCTCTGGGGACCCAGAATCATATGTGGAGAAACTGGACTGTCTGGCATCAGGCGAAACTCGAGGGCAGCTTTCTCTCGGAGGTGCTTGCAGCGATTACCGCAGGACACTGAGACCTGGGGCCTCTTAGGGCAGGGCTGAGGATCAGCCATAGCTGTTTGTTCCACCCTATAGATTCCCTGAGACCCCACCCCACCCAAGCTGTGCTCAGAGGCTTTTGCATATGAATGGCTTGGCCCTTTGCAATCTAAAATTACCTAACAAACTGCAGCTGGGCCAGACAGACGCAGAACATCCAAAAGAAGGCCCAAGGCCCCACAGCAGCTTGCATTGCTTCACAGCTGGGCCTCATCTGGACACCTCCAAACCACAAACAAACAAGAGGAATCTGCAGATCTCTCCATAGCTCCTGCTGGGTAGCCTCAGGCAGAGGGATAAATTAGTACCTCCTTAGAGATCCAAGAGCCAGTGTACTCAGTGGTCAGAGTGGGACCATCCAGATTACAACTCCTCAGATCCATAAGGGACATACTCAGGGGGCAGACTCAGTGAGCACCAAAGCTCCACTGAAGTAAGTCTTGGCCCATAAGGGTGTCTCCAGCACAGAAGTTCTCCCAACGTAGACACAGCTGGATTCTCGCAGCCAATTGGGCGTGGGAGGTCAATTCCTCCCAGTGATACCAACAACAATCAAAGCTTAACTACAACAAGACTGTGCACAAAGCCCACAAGGGGTGCACCAAGAGTGTCAACCTCAGGTAATTGGGGAGTCTGAGCCACTGGGCCCTATAGGACACCTAGCACAGAAAGCCACTCTATCAACACAGGGAAGCAGCCAAAATGCGGAGACAAAGAAACAGGTCACAAATGACAGAAATGGAGGAAAGCAAACTACTGGATATAGAGTTCAAAACCACAGTTATAAGGTTTTTCATGAATTTTCTACAAACCGCCGATAAAGTTAGTAAGACCCTCAATAAGACTAGTGAGACCCTCGAGGATATGGAAAAGGACCAACTAGAAATTAAGCATTCACTGACTGAAATAAAGAATATTATACAGAGATCCAACAGCAGACTAGAGGATCCCAAGAATCAAGGCAAAGATTTGAAGTACGAAGAAGTAAAAAACACCCAACCGGAAAAGCAAAATGAAAAAAGAATCCAAAAAATATGAAGATAGTGTAAGGAGCCTCTGGGACAACTTTCAAGTGAACCAACATCCGAATTATGGAGGTGCCAAAAGAAGAGAGAGAGCAAGATACTGAAAACCTATTTGAAGAAATAATGACAGAAAACTTTCCCTACCTTGTGAAAGAAATAGACTTACAAGTCCAGGAAGCGCAGAGAACCCAAAACAAAAAGAATCTGAAGAGGACCACACCAAGACACATCATAATTAAAATGCCAAGAGCAAAAGACAAAGAGAGAATCTTAAAAGCAGCAAGCAAGAGAAAAACAGTTCGTTACCTGCAATGGAGTACCCATACAACTGTCAGCTGATTTCTCAACAGAAACTATGCAGGCCAGAAGGGAGTGGCAAGAAATATTCAAAGTGATGAATAGCAAGGACCTACATCCAAGATTTTTCTACCCAGCAAAGCTCTCATTTAGAATTGAAGGTCAGAGAAACAGCTTCCCAGACAAGAAAAAGCTAAAGGAGTTCATCACCACCAAACCAGTAAGACATGGGAGGAGGAGGATGAAGAGGAAGAAGGGGAGGAGGAGGAGGGAAGGAAAAGGGATAAAAATTATGAATAATAAAAAGCAACAAATACATATCTATCAACAATTGAATCTAAAAATCAAAATAAATGAACAAAATAAACTGGTGAATAAAATAAAATCAGAGGCATAGAACAGACTGATGAATCTCAGATGGAAGGAAGGAGGGGGGCGGGAAGAGATTAACCAAAGATCTTACCTATGGATATAGACAGTAGGGAGGTGAAGGCCTGGGGCAAGTTGAGAACCCAGTGGAGGGGGGCAATGGGGAGAAAATAGGGGACATCTGTAATAATATCAACAATAAAGATTTTTTTAAAAGCACAGGGAGATTCAGCATAATTGAATTGCTGCTAAAAAAAGCAAAGATATAGAAAAATCATGTAACGATTCTATTTACATGACATTTTCAGAAAGGCAGGAACAAAAAAAAGAGCAGTTGTTTTCAAGGGTTGAGACTGGGGGAATAGGGATAACTACAAAGGAGCATAAGGAAACTTTGAGTGCTGAAATTATTATCTTGATTATGGTGGTGATTATAAGACTTTTAAAACAGAATTTTACGCTATATGTTATACATACAGGAACATATCTCTTCATATGAAATAAAGAAGGATACAATACAAACTATAAAACATTCTTGACATAAACATTTAATCTGAATATAATCATTAGGAAACAATAGGCAAATCCAGAATAAGACATACTCTATAACAGCGGTCGCCAACCAGTGGTCCGTGAGGTCCAAAAGGTTGGCGACCACTGGTTTAAGGAAACCTTTGGAGCAGCTGTGGCCAACCGGTGGTCTGCAGACCACTGGTGGTCCGTGAGATCTGAAAGGTTGGTGACCACTGCTCTATAAGAATACTGGCCTGGCCCTGATCGTTTTGGCTCAGTGGATAGAGCGTCAGCCTGCAGACTCAAGGGTCCCAGGTTCGATACCGGTCAAGGGCATGTACCTTGGTTTCGGGCACATACCCAGTGAGAAGTGTGCAGGAGGCAGCTGATCGATGTCTCTCTCTCATCGATGTTTCTAACTCTCTATCCATCTCCCTTCCTCTTTGTGAAAGATCAATAAAATGTATTTAAAAAAATATATATACTGGCCTGGGGCCTTCAAAGAAAAGTCTCTCAAAAAACAAAAATAGTAGAGTTGACTGCTCTAGATTAGAAGAAAGCACCAAGATATAAAAATGAAACATAATGCATGAATTATGTCCAGTTTCTTGATCCAAAAATATAACAAAAGAAACAATAAAAGACATTTTGAAAACCAAGTGGGAAAGTGAGTGTAAATTGTACATTAAATTAAATTACTTAATTAGTATTAATTTCCTAATACGATAACAGTATAGAGAATGTACTTATTGTTAGGGAATACATACTTCTAAAAATAAGTACTATCTATAATACAAAGGGCATTTTTAGGGGTGCTGTGTCATGATTTTTGCAAGTTACTTATAAATCATCCAGGAAAAAAAAAAATGTGTGTGTGTGAAAGTGGTTGGGAAGAAAAAATAAAGCCTCTGTGGCAAATGCTAATAACTAGTGGATCTAAATTAAGAGGAAAAAGAGAAACTCTAAAATCAAATGCTACAGTTACCTCCTTCATAATCTGAAATCTTGTAAGAACTTCTTCTTCCACACCTTTCATTTTGCTCAAGGCAGTTTCATGTCTGAACAGCAGTTGTTCTCTTTCAACTAAAAAATGTTCTCGCTTCTGAAGTTCTTCAGCAAATTCCTGTTGTGCTGCAGTTTCACACTGAATCAAAACGTAAGATTTAAAAATGTGTTTTAAAAAGTACATTCACAAATTCTACAAATTATATTTACAAAAATTACAGAATAATCAAATGGTACCAAGCAAAATCTGGATTACGATAATAATTAGACTAGTACAGCAGCAAGTAAACTTGCACAGAAATTTTAATTTGCTATAAAATGACTTGATACTATAGTGAGATACTACTATGGTAACTCAAAAGAATTTGGGGTAGGAAACCAAGATGGCGGCATAGGTAAACACCGGAAATTGTTGCCTCGCACGACCACTTCAAAAATACAAATAAAAGACAAAACGAACATGATCCAGAACCACAGGAAGGCTGGCTGAGTGGAAATTCTACAAGTAGAAGGAAAGAGAAAAGCACTGAGACTCAGAGGAGGTGCGGAAGTAAAGAGCAGAGGTACGGAGGCGCACACCGAAAGGGCTGGCAGCTGAGGACGAGGCGCACGTGGAGAGGGCTGGCGGCTGAGGACGCGACGCACGTGGAGAGGGCTGGCGGCTGAGGACGAGGTTGTCTTTTTCAATCGGGAGGGAGTCTCAAGCTCCCGACTGCTCTGAACTCCAGTTCCAGGTGAGTCTCTGGG